GCTATATTAAAATAGGGAAAAAAATACCTATCCTTCGATTTTCTAAAAAAATTTACATCATATTCTCGCTAATTTTTGGCATCGAAATTCGTAAAGAACATGAGTGTTCAAGCCAGGGCAAAAATTTGTTCCCATTTTAATGTAGGGGTCTCAATTTTTTATAGGTTTTTCCTTGCATGGTCGGTAGATTTAGAAATTGGAAGAGTTTCTGTTTTTAAAGTAAATATCCATTCAATTCTCATGGAAAAGTGAATCAATAGATATTAAACCCCTTTAAAAATAACAATATGTGTCAAAAAATTGTAAAATAATAGATTTTTTTCGAAATTGAAGAAGGCGCCATTTTCGTCTTTTTTTCTATTACGTCAATTGGTCTGCTATATTTATTAGCTGTTTCTAAAAAATCTCCGCCTCGATTTTTTTTTATACTTTCATATAATTATCTTTGGTACATAATGTATATGTTATGAAAAAATTAGGCACTTCTATCGAGTAGAAATGGAGAACGGTCATCTTTATTTTGTATGTTCCCACTATGGGGGCGTGGTCCTCCTTAAACATTGTTTCTGAAGATCACGATAGCTATTCTTCTCTCAAAAATAATCATCCACTAAAATTTACTGAAACATAACAAATATATTTTAAGACATCAAAAAATTCTAACTGCTAGAGATTTTTTGAAGCATAATTGCCGGAATCGACCTCAACCGATGTTGTGTCAGTATATAGACCAACGTTGTCAATTTCCGGCGCCGAAAATGTCAACGTAAATGTCATTAAAAATTGGATTCTTTACTTCTTTAAGTTTGTAGCAATTTTGTTTATCTGAATGCCAAAGAAGTCATGCGATATGTTGAATTCTTATCAACGTTATACCAAAATAGGCCGAGCTTGGTAAACTTACAGTTTTAGGCCTACATCATCATGGGATAATACACCTTATCGCTATTACCGCTTGACCCGAGAATCTGTCCCGCTCGAACTTTTGACGTCATACAACAATCACTTTTCCATTGTGGCGTCAAATATTTTCTATTATGACGTCAAAATTTTACGGGAACTTGTGTGATGTTCAGTAATGGCGGACAAATAGCGATAAGGTGTATTTGATTTGTTGATATCGTACTTCGTTGATCCATATTTATTTCGTGAATATTGTTAGTATGTTACCGGCCGATGAGTTTTTAATGAACAGCTAATCTGAATAGGCCATAGAAAAGCTATCGGGGTTTTTTTTTTTTCATAAGTTTCCTTTCGTTCATACAGTTATCGTTATGTGTTTTGTTTTGGTTTCTTTTTTTAAAAAGGGGGGGGGGGGTAATTTTGTTAAAGGCATGTGTCATTTTTAGGGCTCGTGATTCTTAATTTCTGGTTTGCCGTGTTGGTTTAAACTCATCATGACTTTACTTTTTAAAAATTCAATGTACAGTTTCTTAGGGCATTAATATAACATGTATAATGACTATTAGGCTAGTATTAATATATGTCTATGCATAGGGGGAGGACCATTTGCTATTCTAGGTAGGTGGTGGGAAGGGAATCCTGGTCTGTTCACACTAGAACTTGTTCGCTCTGGGTCCTTTCGCCCTGTTACCAATTCGCCCTGTTCTTTTCTTTTATTTTTTCTGGTTAAATCACGAACATATATATATTAACAGATATACTGTTCCCAGGTTGAATGTAAATTAGTTGTAAAACGCATTTGACTAACAGGTCTACATCTTGTGATCTGTTTATTTGGCAATCGCCAATGGCAGTCAGCAGGGTTTAAGAACATCCGTTGTTCGACCTGTTAGTCAAATGCGTTTTGTTTAAATATACTTTTTCACTTTTTTGGTCTTTTAGAAAATGTTGTTTGTGCTGTATTTAGACCCCTCTACCAAGAAATTTGTTTTGCATGCACACGTATAAAAATTGCGGTTTTTATCCAACGCAATCATAGGTTTGAACGTTGTTTTCAATTTAGACTTGTTTATATTTTTTCGTTTGGGCTTGTATTATATTTGCCTTCGGGTTTATATGATCCGTTTATCCTATTTCGACTCTTCAAAATTCAAGAGTCTATCCTACATTGATGTAAATTATATGGCCTTCCAAATACCGTTTCGATTCCTAACATCACTGAAGGAACATTAATTGTCGAAATCTGGATATGGTGTACAAATTTTTGCACCTCATGAGTGCGGTATACCATCTTCTCCGCAAGTTTATTGTTTTCTGTTTGGTATTAAATTAATAATAAAGATCCATTTTGTTACATCTTGTGATCCGTTTATTTGGCAATCGCCAATGGCAGTCAGCAGGGTTTAAGAATATCCGTTGTTCGACATGTTAGTCAAATGCGTTTTGTTAAAATATACTTTTTCACTTTTTTGGTCTTTTGGAAAATGTGGTTTGTGCTGTATTTAGACCCCTCTACCAAGCAATTTGTTTTGCATGCATACGTATAAAAATTGAGGTTTTTATCCAACGCAATCATAGGTTTGAACGTTGTTTTCAATTTAGACTTATATATATATAAATATATATATATGTGTGTGTGATTAATCAAAGATAATATTATTGACTTCAAGCACCAGTTGTGCGTTTTAACTATTGATAATATCAAACTGTCATTCAAGTTCAACTACATGTAATTAAATGGATCAGTAACATTTAGAAAAAATAACAAAGATACATTTAGTACAGGGTGCTGTCTCTTGATTATGTAGAAGCTTTTGTCCAAGTTTCGTAACATTTCATGAAAGTTTGATAACGTTATCGGTGTTAAAAAACTTTAACATTTGACTTTATCGGATAGGCAACTGAGAAAGACCAAGTCCATTTATCAGTAAAATACGGAAAATGAAAACTTAATTATATAAACATTTGGTATCTCTGGATCATGAAAAAGCTTCCGCCCAAGTTTCATAAAATTCATCAAGAGTTTGACAAAGTAATTGATGTCTAAAATCTTAAATCACATACTGGCCCTCATTGTTTAAGACGCCTGTGTCGGCAGTTATATATTCAGTAAACATATAAAAAGTATATTTATCAGTAGAATACAGAAAACAAAAATAAAAAAAATAAAAATTCTTCTATGTTTGCTATAACTTGATAACGAAGAAGCTTTTGTCTAAGTTTTGTAAATTCCATGAATGTTTGACAAAGTTATTCAAAGCTTTCATATACTTAATGTTGACTGCAAAAATTAAGCCGCTTTATGAGGAAAGTACAGAAAAAATGAAAAATGATACCTGATTTTTTGTTCAGTGTAATAGAAAAGAAGTTTCTGTACATGTTTTGAAAATTCCATTAAGTTTTGACAAAATATTCAAGTTTTGATATCATTACATACTTTCTTTTCCATTTTGTTCGTTTATTTACTAGCAATATGTAGTAAATTAGTCTAAGAGATAAAACTTTTATTTTAACTGGTTAGGAATTAAAAGTTTCCAGTAATCCCATATGGTTTAAAAAGGTTATCTATGTTTAAAAAACTTTAACTACATGTAAAAGTCTAACTTTCAGTAAACTACAGAAATCTGAAAAAAGTTATTTTCAAGATTGGGTTCTGGAAACTGTCTTTTAATCGCAAATAAACTTCTTTCCAAATTTCATCAAATTCCATGAAGGTTGATTAAAGAATTTGATGTATAAAAAAACTTTAACTACACTGTATGTAAATGTCAACTGCAAAAATAAAACTAAACTAGAACACACCCGCGAAATCGCGGGCATTTAGAGAGTGGTTGAAAGAATGTAAACTGTTGTAGGATGAATTTTTGTAAAAGATTTTATGACTGGAGAATTTCAGAAAAGCTATCAAAAGTCATTGGTACGTGGGGACAGGACAATTTGTAACCCTCCCCCTTTTTCCAAATTCCGTTATTTTTGTTTTCTGTTAATTTCAATTATTATGGCGTTTTCTATACACTATGAACAAACACATACTATAAATAAAGTGTATTTACTATTTACTTTCAATTCAAAGTTTACTATCTTATAGTATACGTATACATGATCATATTAGTATAGTATACGTATACATGTATGATCATAGAATACAGAAAAACGCGAAATAATGGTCCTGTCAACCAAGTATTTTATGTATAAACGGAAGTCTTGTCTATGACTTAAAAGTCTGTCTGATGACGGAAACAATATCCGGACGCTTATTTTCGTTTTTCACCCCGCAAAATAACCCAAACTTAATAACCATAAGCAAGGATGACAAATGCGTCTATGCATGGTACGTATAGGACACAGAAGCATGATGATTAATTTATTGTGGAAGGAAGAGAAGCGACACACAAAATGAGGTCTTCTCGTTTAATAGTATAGATGCTAAATAGAGGAAAAACTGAAAACATATTAGGACATTTTCGTCCGGATACTGTTTTTGATGATGTAGAATCTTATGTCCAAGTTTCGTAAAATTACATGAAGGTTTAACAAAGTTAATGAAGTCTAAGAAACTTTCACTATAGACCGAACCTAAATTTTGATGCTACGACGACACGACGACGACGAAATATAGTATCGCTTCCATGAAGGATTAATAACGTTATCGCACCTCGAGTAAATAGTCACATTGTGATTGGTTTAACGCCGTCACGTGGTGACCCCCTATGGGCCCGTAGAGGGTCAGTAGATTTCATAGGGGGTGTCATGGCGGCGATAGATGACTGATGTGCCGCTTGCAATTTTCAGAACGGTATTTTAAACGCAATACCTTATCGATTCAAGTAATTATTTGGGAGTTGTCCCCCGTTGATCAGTATACAATATCAGTACATTAATTAAAGTTATCTCCCGTTTCAAACAACATGTGACGTAGGGACTCGGCCTACGGCCTCACCCCCTATGGATTTTACTAACCCTCTATGGATCCGTAGGGGGTCAGTAGCAAACCATATAACTTATAATGACATGACGACGACGAAATGAAGGATCGCTTTGTGTCGCTTTTGCGACGAAAGTTTGCAAGCGAGACAATGATTAAAATAGAAACTTACCGATGCAGTTGTATACTTTTTTGCAATGTATTTTGATCAACTGAATCAAATCGAAAACTGTGATGACATCAACCGTTGCTAGTGTAAATAAAGATCACAATAAAATTACCAAAAATATAACTATTTTTGCATACGGAAGTTTAAAGGTAGAGATTTATTCTAGGCGTACAAATAGTATCAGTATGACACGGCAAAATTTATGGAGTAGTCTACTGTGGATTAGATAACGACGATTTAAAAAAAAACACTTTTCAATAATTCAAATTGAGCTACTGTTTCGTTTAAGGGACTTTTTTGTATCCCAAAAGGTTTGACTCTTTAAAAATCAAGAACATGCTATCAAATTCTTCTAATTTCTCAGGGTTATCGTGCCCATATTAATGATAGTCATGCTTTAAATGAATTGAATATGAATTAAACAATGTAAAGAATGAACAATTCAGGGAATTATCAGCCAAAGAGACGATACATCAAATTACCAAGGCCACCAATAGAAAAAAGAACTTCAGATTACTGATTGAGGATACTGCTAGAAGATGGACTAAGCGCACGAGCCTGAATAATTACAACTAGACATTTTATTCTGAATTGTCCAATGGTTTTTTGTCATGCATTCAAACCCTACAAAGTAAAATGAGACCTTTAAAGAAGCCTGCGGTTGTTGGTGCTTAATGTTCTCTTCGCGACAAATGTGTTGTTGTTTAAGCAGACAAAGCATCACACCATGTACATGAACGCCATTTTGTCTAGGTTAAAGTTGTCTTTTTGACATTGAAACATCTTTTTTATTTATATTGTGTCATAGATCAAACTTATTCGTTCAGTGTATATTTACTTGATTTTGTGTAATGTTTTTTTTATCGAGTTAAGCCATTTCAACTGATATTTTACTGTGTGTCTTTTTATGTTGTAATGTTATACCACTGTTTCAGGTTAGGGTGAAGGTTGGCGCCTGTTAAAACGTTTAAACCCGCTGCATTTGTTTGCACCTGTTCTAAGTCAAGAACCTGATGTTCAGTGGTTGTCGTTTGTTGATGTGGTTCATAAGTGTTTATCGTTTCTCGTTTTTTATATAGATTAGACCGTTGGTTTTCCTGTTTAAATGGTTTTACACTAGTAATTTTTGGGGCCCTTTATAGCTTGCTGTTCGGTGTGAGCCAAGGCTCCGTGTTGAAGGCCATACTTTGACCTAAAATGGTTTACTTTTACAAATTGTGACTTGGATGGAGAGTTGTCTCATTGGCACTCATACCACATCTTCTTATATCTATATGCAATAATCCGTAGAAAGAACGTTCTTCGTCTTGATGCTCCACTAGTCGTGCACTATGATTCTCACTAAACTTTTTTTTTACAGCGAAAAATTATCTTCAAACTATTGTGATGAGGTCTACTCAATTTGATTCTATCCGGTTGCGGATTCTTAAAAATTATAAACAACATGTATGTAGAGTTTGGAGGATTGTTATTTCAACGAACAGTCGATATTAAAAACGGTACTTAGTGTGCAACTCTCACTGGCGGACTTTTTTTTACCAATTAACCAGAATAATTCTGTCGTAATATTCCGCTGCTCTACAATGGCTGCATTATCCATTGGACACAAAGAGGGATTAAATTATTCGAGTTATATAAATATATGTATGAAAATTCATACAAAACCTTGAAAGAACATCTTCACATGTTCTGTACCATTAAGATATACTGATGTCGATTAATTTGTTCCGCATTTCAGCGAGTGCTTGCATCTCATATATCTTAGTCAACATGACATTAACGATACTAGAAATTCTGCTAAATGTCTTGATATTTGTCTACCTATTGTAACAAATCGTCAACTTAAAACTAGTAAGAAAGGAAAGAGAAAACCAAGAGGGCATTGAACCATCAGCCAGAGTGAAATCAACAGATAAATTTCCAACGATATTGAGTGTTAGGGAAATTGGAGGTTTGTAGCAGTTAGATGTCACACAAACATCAAATTTCTATGATTGTATATGAAACTGCTCAGTGGCGTATCATGGTTTAAAATAAAACGAGGGAAGATACTGAAAAATTCTGTAATTTCGTAAAAAAAAATGAGAGCCTTTCTAATTGTGAAATATATACTGAAAAACAAATGTTTGCCTCTTCAGGATAGCGTACTATAATATTACATTATATAACATGCTCGATCATTAACGCCTGAAGGATAGCTTGAAAACCCCTATAACGTCTCTTAGGGATTTTCAACCTTAATTGTAAAAGAATAATTGTTTTAGAATTGAAATTAACAAATAAAATGTATATGTTGAATCAAACTCAAGTAACAAAAGCACTGGCGGGTCAAATAATACCCTCTCGGGGATTGATAATCTACCGTTAGCAGTATCGAAACAGTGAAAGTAAAACAAAATTAGCCAGTGAATTATAACTAATTTTTTTTAACATAATTTTTAAACAAGATATTTTATCCTTGAAGTCAGGCCGGTACCAAACACTGGCTTCTTAAATGGTACCTTCACGCTGAGGGATTGATGGTCAACGGTTATAACGGTATAAAGTCAAATGATAACGATATTTGGGCGCATGATTGTGCTTCTGTAATTCAGATCTAACGCATAAAAGGAAGATTTTTTGGAGCATAGGACATGAACAAAACATTCAAATCATGTTAAGTCTAACTTTACATAAAAGAGTAGGAACCTATAATTCTATATGTATTACAAATCTATCAAATATAGTTCATTTGAATCAATATTAACAGAACATTTATCTGTCAGATATCTGTATCTTTGTCTTATGAAAATTATCTTTTTTTTGCTTAACACCCTAAAACCTCTTGTATTCCAAACAAAACTGCAAACGTGACAAAATAACCTGAGATATCTTCTCATTGATATTAATAAATGAGCCAAGGTCTCAACTAAAACGATGTTTTGCTACATGATGTCTAGTAAAAAATGTGAATATAAGTAAATATTTGTATCACCCAAAAGTGTGCGAAGAATGCAAGCTGTAATGTGAGCTAGTACCGACTAAAAAGCTGTGTAACAATTGTTTAAGTTTCGCTTTCAGTATAAGTAACAAGTATATAGAAAGACTTACTTGGTAAATAACTTACATGACTAGATACTTGAAGATTACAGAAAGTATACTTAAAAACGTACCAGATAACACATGTTTTTAGTAATATATATATAGATTACATTTATTTAATTAAAACAATGGTTACAGTTTCCTAAGACTTAACTTTATGATTATATCAGTGTTGTTATCGAAATAAAGCAGAACAATAATAATGAAGGTAGTGGATATAAGCACTTAAGGAAGTAACACAACATTAACAAATAAAATTATGTAATATTGTGAAGGTATATTGTGAATAAAAACTAAACTAACAATGTCAAAATCAATAGGCTAAAACAAACAGAGATAAAATACTGTATTTAGACAAATGTAGCTCTTTATATTTGTAATTTTAAGAAATGTTATGTAATATAAAATATTCCAACCGAAAATGAGATATTACGTACAAACTCTGAAGTTGAGATAAGAATATGAAAATAAATATAATAATCCATAATACATATTTTCTACACTAATGACACAAAAAATAAACATTGAGTTAGGCCCCAACAACAACTTTTTTCGGGTCAATCTATATGTTTTCTCAACCATATTTTCGTACCCAATTGTTGAAAGCCTGCAATCTTAGGTTTAAGCTACTAATCATAACCTAAGTTTAACTGACAATTTTATTCTATAAAATCATCCTTAGCAATTATGAGAAAGTTTCTGTTATATAATCATACCTTGTACTTTATTAAGAAAAAGAGCTAATTCATTAAATCCTTTTAAAACCTTAAGAGTATCTCTTATATATATATATGTTTTCTACTTGGTATTAAATTTATATAGAGATCAATTTATTTGGCAATCGTCAATGACGTCAATGGCAGTCAGTAGGGTTTAAGAACATCAGTTGTTCAACCTGTTAGTCAAATGCGTTTTGTTAAAATATATTTTTTTCACTCTTTTGGTCTTTTGGAAAATGTTGTTTGTGCTGTATTTAGACCCCCCTACAACGAAATTTGTTACATGCACACGTATAAAAATTGCGGTTTTTATCCAACGCAATCATAGGTTTGAACGTTGTTTTCAATTTAGACTCGTTTATATTTATTTCGTTTGGGCTTGTATTATATTTTTCCCTCCGGTTTATATTATCCGTTCATCCTATTTTGACTTTTTAGAATTCAAGAGTCTGTCCGAAATTGAGGTAAATTAAAAGGCCTTTCAAATACTTTTCGATCCCTAACATCACTAAAGAGACATGAATTGTCGAAATCCGGATATGGTGTAAAATAAATTAGCATCTCATGTTGTGGTTTACCATCTTTGCCGTAAGTTTATTGTTTTCTACTTGGTATTAAATTTATATAGAGATCCATTTTGTTACACCGTGTGATCAATTTATTTGACAATCGTCAATGGCAGTCAGCAGGGTTTAAGAACATCAGTTGTTCAACCTGTTTGTCAAATGCGTTTTGTTAAAATATATTTTTTCACTCTTTTGGTCTTGTGGAAAATGTTGTTTGTGCTGTATTTCGACCCCCTCTACAACGAAATTTGTTACATGCACACGTATAAAAATTGCGTATTTATCCAACGCAATCATAGGTTTGAACGTTGTTTTCAATTTAGACTTGTTTATATTTTTTCGTTTGGGCTTGTATTATATTTGCCTTCGGGTTTATATGATCCGTTCATCCTATTTTGACTCCTCAAAATTCAAGATATCCTAAATTGAGGTAAATTGTATGGCTTTCCAAATACCGTTTCGATTCCTAACATCACTGAAGAGACATTAATTGTCGAAATCCGGATATGGTGTACAAAAACCTTTACACCATTTGTTTGCGGTATACCATCTTTTCCGCAAGTTTATTGTTTTCTGTTTAGTATTAAATTTATAAATAAGATCCATTTATTACATCGGTGATCCGTTTATTTGGCAATCGCCAATGGCAGTCAGCAGGGTTTAAGAATTTTTGTTGTTCGACCTGTTAGTCAAATGCGTTTTGTTAAAATATACTTTTTCACTTTTTTG